TTCCTTATCTTGCCAGCTGTTTCCACACATGTGTCACCTTTTGTCTTTTGTCTATTCTACAGAAAGAAGAAAACCATGAAGCTGTCCAGAGCTCTGTCAGATCTAGTCAAATACACGCGGTCTGTGGGTCTCTATGACATCGAAGCACAAGGTTAGCAAATGTATTTTCACTGCACAAAGCTTAGTTTATGGTGACAGTGCCCTATAAGTAGGGATGGGGAATTGATCATTATCAGCTATCGATTTGATTATTTATCAGTTCTCTTATCGATTCTTGTTGGCTCTGCTTTGAGAGTCAACCATTGCTAAGCAGCATGTCAAAGGGATTACATTTGTATAAATTCATTGCTTGCTGTGAGGTCAAATATCTGTGCATGTTGGAGGTAGTTCCACTCTTTGTTGTTGGTCCTTACTCAAAAAATGAATGCATTACACAGAACACCTTTCTTAAAAGTAATGCAGCATGTTACTTAATTGCTCCCAGAGAAAAGTAACTTATTACACTACTCAATACATTACTTTCCTGTGAAACTCTTCATTACTATTTAACAGTATAAAGCTATACGCTACAGTCCCACACACCGACACAAATCTCTATCCTAAAGCTATTTTGTTGATAGCATGCAGAAATGAAAACCAGGGCAAAGTGATTCTACAGTAGAAACATGAACAGGTAGCAACTGAGGCTGCAGCCTAACTGCTCATCACTGCTGGTTTTACCAGTTGAAGTTGAAGGTCTGGCTGCTGGGCTGTGATCGGCAGCTTTAACATCACTCTTGGTTTTTGGCTAGCTTAGCCAAAGTTATATTAGCAGCATAATGCAGTTTCTTCTGTGCTCTATGCACTCGCATCCTTTGCGCAGTAAAAATAAAATAAATGTCCGTATGCACTCGGTGCACCATGTTGTGATTTTCCTCTTCCTGCACATGAACTGAAGTGTAAGTGGAACTGAGATCAAAAGGCAAGCAGTCTAACAATTCCAAGGAACTGAACCACTGGTTCTCTACAAAAACCAGTTCTCAGTTTCCCATCCCTAACTATAAGTGCAATGTACCTACTACTGCATTTTCTTTACTTGGAAAGTTTTTGAGCCTCAGGAAGAAAACTGTGCTATCCTTGGCAGCTAACTGTGGCTGGCAGGTGTCATCTCTGAGTGAGACTAAAGCCCACCAGGTGATGCAGCAAAAAGCATCGTCCTTCATTCAGTTCAACCAGCGGCAGCTGTCCCGCATCTATCCTTCCTCGTACCGTGTGGACTCCTCCAACTTCAACCCTCAGCCCTTCTGGAATGCTGGGTGCCAGCTTGGTATGAATGTTGAAACTATATTCAGTATGGCCAAACATTTAGTGTAATAGCAGATTATGAGGGATGCTTTCAGTTTGTCATGACTAAACTAATGTAGGTGCATGCCAATTGGTTTTCCCTCAGTGGTTGTTACCTAGCATATTAAAGGTTTCCAATCTATGAACAATGAAGTGAAATGCTTTGATTTCAGTTGCACTCAACTACCAGTCTGAAGGCCGGGTCCTCCAACTCAACAGAGCCAAATTCTATAGCAATGGCAACTGTGGCTACATCCTCAAACCGGCCTTCATGAGCGAAGGTATTTCACTAGTTTGTCATTTTTCAGTGTGTTATCAGTTTCATTGCCTTTCATTAGTTTTGATGCTTATTTTTGGTTAATGTGAGAGTGGAGGAAGATGGAGAAAGAGATATCATCCATAACTGTACAGGACATGTAGCAAGAAGAAGAATTAAAGAGGCTGTGCATCTTTCCATGTTTGTTTGTTTGTTTGTTTTTAACTGAGCAGGTCCCTAACTGCTTCTAATTTTTCAGTATTTAGTTTATTTAATGCTCTCCCTCTCCTCTACTGTTCTTTAGTTCACTTGAGTTTTCCAGTGTTTTGTGTAGAGAACCAGGTAGGCTCAGACTGGATGTGTGTGTCCTGCTTTTTATAATATCACAAAATAAAGTTTAAAAAATTCATAGTTGAAGTGGTTGACAGTTGTCATTTTATTACAATAAGTGAAAAATCACAAGTAGAGTGTAATCATTTTACCCACTGCAGATGCCTTTAACCCCAACGTGGAAGACCCCATTCCTGGTCAGATGAAGAAACAGCTGGTGTTAAAGGTCATTAGTGGACAACAGCTGCCCAAACCCAAAGACTCAATGCTGGGAGACCGAGGAGAGGTAGGACCACAGACTAGATTTATAGGATTGAACTTCCACGTTGAACTGAATGAATATGGGATAAATCTGTAATCATCCTTACAAGCAGCACCTCCTCAAAATGTCTTTTTGCAGAGAAGGCGCCTTACTTTTAGTCTGAATGATTTATGGGCAGGCCAATGTAAGCTATTTGCTGTTCTATGGGTATTTGTAGGGCTGGGTATCACCACTGATTTCTACAACTGATTCAAATTCACAAGGTTTCGATTCGATTTATAATCCTGATCATTTATCTTTTATATGTACTTCTAAATTAATGTTACGTCCCTCTGCAGCCCCCAATCTCTTCAGTGGGTTGAGCTGTTGCTAATTGACCACACCTGACCAGGTGTGGACAAAAGGATACCTGAGGCAGGCTTTCAGGAAGCCTCACTAGCCTTGCCTTGGTGGTACCAGCCATGTTAGCCAACCTGCTATGCATTTTAGGATTAAAACCTCTTCTCACCTACAATCTGGTGTTTGTCTCCTTATTTATGTTGCGGCTTTTGAGACGGGTCGTAACTAGGGATGGGTATCGTTTAGGTTTTATCCGATACCGGTGC